CAATGATAATACTAGTGTCACAATGATAACACCAGCGTCCCAATGATAATACTTACGTCCCAGTGATAATACTAGCGTCACAGTGAGAATACTAGCCTCACAATGATAATACCAGCGTCACAATGCTAGTACTAGCGTCACAATGATAATACCAGCGTCACAATGATAATACTAGTGTCACAATGATAATACTAGCGTCACAATGATAATACCAGCGTCACAATGATAATACTAGTGTCACAATGATAATACTAGCGTCACAATGATAATACTAGCCTCACAATGATAATACTAGCGTCACAATGCTAGTACTAGCGTCACAATGATAATACAAGCGTCACAATGATAATACTAGTGTCACAATGATAATACTAGCGTCACAATGATAATACCAGCGTCACAATGATAATACAAGCATCACGGTGATAATACCAGCGTCACAGTGATAATACTAGCGTCACAATGATAATACAAGGCTAATCCGCTGCGTCACAATGATAATGCTCGCATCACAATGCAAGCTGATCAGGCGGAAACCAAATATGCGATGGAGGCGTATAACTTAATTGATGGTGTATGTTGCCGAGAATTGATGGAAAATCACTTAACGCCCTTTTATTAATCTTGAATTTAACATATTTAATGTTACTTCTTTTGCTTTGATATATACTTTGTTTCATTTTGCTTGTGGACAAAATCCTACACCCCTCTTCATAACTTTCGTCAAAGGCAGTGACCGCATCACACATCGAGGCTACACAATGAGAGAGTTCCTTATAAAATCGTTCGTAAATTCGTCATAGTAGTAAAGAGATAAACGTACTTCGTTTACAATTTAGAGACAGGTTATCGTCATTTAATACCTCCGACGTTTTCATTTAAAACCGCACGCTAACGGATTCAGTTTAAATTAAACTTAGTACGTTTGTCCCCATAAACAGTTGCATATGTGCATGGGCTGGAATCGAGAGATAAAAGTTGATACGATGGGTTACAATCGCCTTGTTTCACCGACCATGTTAATGAAGTTGACTTATGATAACTGTAGTGCTGGGGCTACTTTGTGAAACGTGGCCCCGACCTTCAGCATTGCATCCCCCCTATATGCGCGTGGAACTCTTTTCTACTGCCGCACCCCTCGGAAATATGTTATCTGTCCCAAGTGAAACGTTTCCTACAACTAGAAAGGTGTTTGCGATGCACGGCAAAAACAAACCAGCCCCCGTCCCAAGCCCATTTTGACATTCCTCAAGTTCACCTGACAAGCATATAATGTTCCTATATGCAGAGTACAGTTAATGAAAATGATCTGAAACAGTAAGAAATATTGTAAAAATATAGACCTACAAGTCGTATTTGTAGCAGATACCAAAAACAATAAAATCAACCTCCAGAAAGTAGGTCACCATGACCTACTTTTGATACTGTCAGATGGGTATTCTCCAGATACATCGACATGTTCAATATCAAGACTTTGCAACAAATAAATGTAGTAGAAGAAACTGATGGGCAATAGAAAGTATACATTTGACTTTTGTGATGAAGCTGAAAAGTGAAGGAAGTTTTGATAAGTTTGATTATGTCGAACTAATCATCAAACATTTCTGCAATACTTTGTACACAAAACCCCATGTTTGGGTAATATGGGGTAAATAAAAGCGAAAGTGGGTTTAATGAAGACTGGGTTGTGAGTGAGTGAGTGAGTGAGTGAGTGAGTGAGTGAGTGAGTGAGTGAGTGAGTGAGCTTTTAACAGTATTCCAGTTATATCACGGCGTGTCACCTTAATGTGGGAGGAAAGTCCGAAGTGATGCAGGTCTCAGACGTTTACCACTTCGGTGAAACCCACGAGCACGGGTATGGTGCTGACAAACCTAGAAACATAATCGGGGCGAACCGGGATTCGAACCCACCGTCATAGGTTTCTCGCGTGCCCAAGGGATGCAACTCTGCACAGCGAATCGCGCCACCTCAGACAACTGGGTCACCCGTGCCCCCGACTGGGGTAAGAAATGAAATATACACCCACATGACCCCTACACTGTTTAGAGTGCTATTCATTAATGCCCACAAACGCAAATCAATTGATTTTCACAGATAAGATATCCAATATGTCCAATATGTGTGCTGACGTTTAATGAATAACTGTGTTAATTGCTTTGCAGCTAGGCAAGAGGGTATGGCTGTTGGAATGAACCTGGGTATAATTTGAACATTTTGAAGACTAACCTGGTCAAAAAGTAAACATTAAAACGTATGCGCGTCAAAATTCCAGAATGCAAGTGCCAGCCATGAGTACCGACTTCCCCCATAAAGCACGTCGGTGACATAATCGGAAGACGGGTGCGCCAAACTAGGTCAGGCGCTGCAAGACGTCATTTTGAGATTGATTCGGACGGTGCCATGTCGTAATAACGAATGTTTGACCAATCGTGGGTTTATGACCCATTAGGGTGTCGCAGAAATAATTTCGATGCATAAAATGTACCTATTTGTGCGATTCACATTTGCCCTACAGTGTTGAGCCCTCAGCCTTGGCAGCTTCCTGGATCAATACGTGACTCATTTTTTGTGTCATTATGTCAACACCATACATGTGCTTGTGAATTTCTCCCACATTTAAATAAGAGATGTGATAAAGACGTTAGCCCCCACTTGTACTATCCCAACGACTAGCCTGGAGTTATTGGTGCTCTTCATAGCTACACGCCTATATATATATATATATATATATATATATATATATATATATATATATATATATATATATATATATATATATGTGTGTGTGTGTCTGTGTCTGTGTGTGTCTGTGTCTGTGTCTGTGTGTGTCTGTGTCTGTGTGTGTCTCTGTGTGTGTCTGTGTGTGTGCGTGTGTGTGTTTTTATTATATATATATTATATATTTTTATTATATATATATGTGTGTGCGTCTGTGTGTGTGTGTGTGTGTCTGTGTCTGTGTCTGTGTGTGTGTCTGTGTGTGTGTCTGTGTGTGTGCGTGTGTGTGTTTTTATTACTCTCTTGAGGGGGGCGGGGGATAAAAGCTATTTCAAATTCTATAACTCGATCTAATTTGTGACCACCACTGTTTGAAATGTGTTGACACAAATGGATCTGAAATCACACGTAGAACCACAGAAGTACTAATTCTGTCAGTTCAGGAACACACACATACTGACATAGTTTACTTTCATAACACTCCGTTCCAGTCAATCACCTTAAGTTTCAATAAGTTACTGCAGTTAAGGAATTATACAAATGCGTTTAAATAAAGCGTTTGATGTAACTTTCTATACGTTTGACCCACTCTCTGTGACATATTGAGTAAATAGCGGATTTCATTTTGAATTATCACCATGTTAAGTTAGGCAAGATAACAAAAGTACGCATGGCACTAATACCAGAGCTCACAACAGACACCACATACACTTCGTATTACATGTCCCTTATGCTTTTGTTTTTAGTCTATCGGGTACACTGCAAAAAACATAACATGTCAAATATTCTATATTTGTAGTGTTTCGTATGTTGCGAACATATATATATTTATGGAGTGAATGAGTGAACTAACTGTAAAATGGGCGTCCTTTTGTGTTGCAAATTGATTTCTTTATTGGTGATTTGTTCAATTAAATACACAAATCTATATTCACTTTTATAAGCAGTGGTTAAATTTGTTACAAATTTGCACTGTAAACTGATCAGCCTGTGTGAATGAGAGCAGGATTTCATGGAAGGCGTCAAGGTTAGGTGAGGTGAAATGGGGTGTTTACGTCGCGTCCAAGATTATTGCACTTATATAGCGACGTGTATGCACGTGTGTGCGTGTGTGTGTGTGTGTGCGTGTGGATGCTTGTACTAGTCCGGACTGATGCCGATTTATAGTGCTAGCCCACTGACTCCGAGCCGACCAGTCTTTGTTTTAGCCCCTTAATGACGACAACCAGAAACGGTAACAGCAAGTACCATCTTTTAACGTCGTTTGGTATGACGCGGCCGGGAATTGAACCCAGGAATCGAATCGCTCTCCGGACGGACGCTCTACCACTAGACCACGGAGGCGGTCCTGGAAGGCGCCAAGGATACCACGGTGCTATACTGTAGCGTATGTGCGAGCATGTGTGTTTTCATGTACAGTCAAACACCGTTGTGTCGAACTAACGGTTGTCTCGAAGTAAAAGTTTGGTTCCTGCCTATTCCTTCTCTACTCATATGCTTTCGATTGTGTCGAACCTCGGATTATCCAAAGTATTTACGCAAGTCCCTTCAACTTCGGCGGTATCTGACTGTATATTTGTATGAGTGATGTACTTGTGTGGTTTTTTACTTAATATTATATTCTCCAATATCCCATGAGGACGGGGAGGGTTCTGTAAAATGTTTTGATATTTGGTACGATGTGCCGGAGGTGTGATCTTAATAAACTCCCACACTCCCACACACATTTGTCTGAAGAACCAATGAAGGGACGGTAGTACACAGGTGACTTAATGGCACTTTGAGATGATAAATGTATGTGTAAATTTTAGCCCATTTCCAAACTGACATTTCGAAAATACCATTACATCTTTATAACAATTAACAAAACGGTTCTCTACGATAGTGTCGTTAGAATATTGTCGTTAAATACCATCTCGTTCCTTTGATGAAGTAGATGTCTCTATTTCAAAAGAAATGGTTGCAGAGTCTATGTTCAGAAGGTACGCATGTGCAGTGAGTGAGTGGGTGGGTTGCCCTAAGGTGCCTTTTGTATTTGTTAAATATGAGGATCCCTTGGTTTCTTCGAGAGGATTCCACACCACATTCCTGAAAATAATTCCAATGTTTGGTTTTTTAAAATCAAAAACATTCCGTTCTGAAATTGCTGTTGATAAAATACCACCATTACCACCAGCCTCGGAGGTAAGTGAAATACATTCAAATTGTCGAAACATCGTTGAAGCAGATTTACTTGCCTGTGAGGTCAGCGTGTTTATCATACACGTTCAGGGCCCGGTGAATGTGTTCCCTGACATGTTATCTCGACTGTACCTTGTACAATGAGGAACGTGAATATAACATCCGTGTTGCTACTTACCTGTGACTAGGTACCTAACACACCTGCACTGTACTCTGCCGGGCTACATTCGCCAGGGGACATCACTGGTCATACTGGTCACAGGTGGCATACAAGGTGAAGTACTACCCCTTCAGTATGTGTCAATTGTGTTCAGTTTCCTTTGTTCGTGTGATCTTTCGTAAAGTAACATTGTCCTTGTTTGAACTGTATACACGCATCCATATCCGGTTTTTGAGGGAATGAATAGATTAAAGATGAATTGTAGGAACGATTGCGTGGGATGTCGCTTGCATACAGTAAATTGATAATTATTTTCCATGTGTCAAACTCTTGCAAACCGTTGATTTTAATCGTGTAATACAGCCGCCAACGTCGGCGATTGCGAAACAGGATACACGGATTGCGAAACCCATACCTTACGCTCCATGATAAGGATACGTGCATTATCGTCATTAAGACTCAATGTTATTACTTGAAACATCTTTAGTGTAGTCAGTAGTGTTGATCGGTCCTTCTCTTAGAAGTAGTTTCATCAAAATTAGCAAAATTAGTTTCATCAAAAACAGCAAACGTTTCACGAGATTGTCCTGCCAAGACAAATATGTTTACAGACCGCCATCGTATGACGAAAGTACTGCCGTAAGGGGTCAGATAACAAATATACTCTTACTTATCCATGCAAATTGTGTGAGTAGCGGATGCTACCGTTAGAGCAGGACGTGCTTACCCTTTTTCTCGACACCTGGTGTCGTCACTGACTTTAAGTGATCCCTATATATACCTTTCACCAATGTTACGCTAACTGAAATCGATACGGTTTATTCTCAAGTGTTGACGTTCTACATTTCCCTGTCTCTTTGTCCTTTTATCATTTCATCACAGTAATATCACTCAGTCAAACAATTTCTGCAGTACTTCATCCCAAACATGAGGTACTCCTGTACATGTCATCCTATACTTCTGTCATCCCATCTCTGTAGTGTGCCCCTGTACATGTCATCCTAAACTTCTGTCACCCCATCTCTGTAGTGTGTCCCTGTACATGTCATCCTGTACTTCTGTCACCCAATCTCTGTAGTGTGACACTGTACTTCTGTCACCCCATCTCTGTAGTGTGACCCTGTACATGTCATCCTGTATTTCTGTCATCCCATCTCTGTAGTGTGACCCTGTACATGTCATCCTAAACTTCTGTCATCCCATCTCTGTAGTGCGACCCTGTACATGCCATCCTGTACTTCTGTCACCCCATCTCTGTAGTGTGACCCTGTACATGTCATCTTGTACTTCTGTCACCCCATCTCTGTAGTGTGACCCTGTACATGTCATCTTGTACTTCTGTCATCCCATCTCTGTAGTGTGCCCCTGTACATGTCATCCTAAACTTCTGTCATCCCATCTCTGTAGTGTGACCCTGTACATGCCATCCTGTACTTCTGTCACCCCATCTCTGTAGTGTGACCCTGTACATGTCATCCTGTACTTCTGTCATTCCATCTCTGTACTGTGACCCTGTACATGTCATCTTGTACTTCTGTCATCCCATCTCTGTAGTGTGACCCTGTACATGTCATCCTGTACTTCTGTCATCTCATCTCTGTAGTGAGCCCCTGTACTTCTGTCACCCCATCTCTGTAGTGTGACCCTGTACATGTCATCCTATACTTCTGTCACCCCATCTCTGTAGTGTGAACCTGTACATGTCATCCTATACTTCTGTCATCCCATCTCTGTAGTGTGTCCCTGTGCATGTCATCTTGTACTTCTGTCATCCCATCTCTGTAGTGTCACCCTGTACATGTCATCCCATCTCTGTAGTGTGACCCTGTACTTCTGTCACCCCATCTCTGTAGTGTGAACCTGTACATGTCATCCTATACTTCTGTCATCCCATCTCTGTAGTGTCACCCTGTACATGTCATCTTGTACTTCTGTCATCCCATCTCTGTAGTGTGCCCCTGTACTTCTGTCATCCCATCTCTGTAGTGTGACCCTGTACTTCTGTCATCCTATCTCTGTAGTGTGCCCCTGTACTTCTGTCACCCCATCTCTGTAGTGTGACCCTGTACATGTCATCCTATACTTCTGTCACCCCATCTCTGTAGTGTGACCCTGTACATGTCATCCTATACTTCTGTCATCCCATCTCTGTAGTGTGACCCTGTACATGTCATCCTGTACTTCTGTCATCCCATCTCTGTAGTGTGACCCTGTACTTCTGTCATCCTATCTCTGTAGTGTGACCCTGTACATGTCATCCTATACTTCTGTCACCCCATCTATGTAGTGTGACCCTGTACATGTCATCTTGTACTTCTGTCATTCCATCTCTGCAGTGTGCCCCTGTACTTCTGTCATACCATCTCTGTAGTGTGACCCTGTACATGTCATCCTGTACTTCTGTCATCCCATCTCTGTAGTGTGCCCCTGTACTTCTGTCATCCCATCTCTGTAGTGTGACCCTGTACATGTCATCCTATACTTCTGTCACCCCATCTCTGTAGTGTGACCCTGTACATGTCATCCTGTACTTCTGTCATCCCATCTCTGTAGTGTCACCCTGTACATGTCATCCTATACTTCTGTCATCCCATCTCTGCAGTGTGACCCTGTACTTCTGTCATCCTGTACTTCTGTCACCCCATATCTGTAGTGTGACCCTGTACATGTCATCCTGTCCTTCTGTCATCCCATCTCTGTAGTGTGACCCTGTACATGTCATCCTGTACTTCTGTCATCCCATCTCTGTAGTGTGTCCCTGGACATGTCATCCTGTTTTTCTGCCATCCCCTTTCTGTAGTGTGACCCTGTACATGTCATCCTGTACTTCTGTCACCCCATCTCTGTAGTGTGACCCTGTACATGTCATCCTATACTTCTGTCACCCCATCTCTGTAGTGTGACCCTGTACACGTCAACCTGTCCTTCTGTCATTCCATCTCTGTAGTGTGACCCTGTACATGTCATCCTGTACTTCTGTCATCCCATCTCTGTACTGTGACCCTGTACATGCCATCCTGTATTTCTGTCATCCCATCTCTGTAGTGTGACCCTGTACATGTCATCTTGTACTTCTGTCACCCCATCTCTGTACTGTGACCCTGTACATGTCATCCTGTACTTCTGTCAGCCCATCTCTGTAGTGTGTCCCTGGACATGTCATCCTGTCCTTCTGTCATCCCCTTTCTGTAGTGTGTCCCTGTACTTCTGTCATCCCATCTCTGTACTGTGACCCTGTACATGTCATCCTGTACTTCTGTCACCCCATCTCTGTAGTGTGTCCCTGTACTTCTGTCATCCCATCTCTGTACTGTGACCCTGTACATGTCATCCTGTACTTCTGTCATCCCATCTCTGTAGTGTGCCCCTGTCATTCTTTCATCCCATCTCTGTACTGTGACCCTGTACATGTCATCCTGTACTTCTGTCACCCCATCTCTGTAGTGTGTCCCTGGACATGTCATCCTATTTTTCTGCCATCCCCTTTCTGTAGTGTGTCCCTGTACATGTCATCCTGTCCTATCATCCTATCTCTGCAGTCTGCTCATATGCATTTCCCCTCTACAATTGTATATACCTGTGTTGTCCAATAACTGTCTAAAATAAACCCGACACGATAACACATGGATCAACATAGCAGGGTTTCTACCTTAGTGCTTAGGAAGGGTTTCTGCTCTCGGTTGCTGTAACACCGTCGTCGTAGAAACCAATGACGTGTTGGATTGGGAAATGAACCTGTATGTTGCAACATTTATTTAAACCGCCTCCTTTAGCTCACACATAAAACTTGAGCATACCAACTCGCTTACTAAGACACCATGTACACCAGTAGCGACAAACTATTCTTGTCTTATCAGATTAGATAGCACCTAACCCTATACAATGAACACCATTAATCGATTGGGAACAATGTGAGTTAACAACACAAGGAATTTAAGGGGTACAAAGTGAACAATTGACATGACAATTGTATTTAACAACAGTAAAAATAAACATATTATGTGTACGTCAGGTAATACGTCAGAAACTGTATGATACGTTGCGCAAAGTGACAGTCGGTCTTAACACGCTATATCACGGCGTTCTGTAAATATCCTGGGCCAGTGTTTTTGAGCAATAATCAATATTTCTGGTCGCGATGACCCGTAAATCAGACAAGTCACACACCGTAACCACCTGATCCTAATCTCTTACAAGTTTATTGTATTGAGGGCCCTGCTCTGGATTCCCAACGAGCTAATACGCAAATCCGGGTTGCAAGATTGAATCCCAGACACGGTATGTTTACAAGTAGTTCGACGTCGATTATTTTTAATCTTATCCAGGTGAATGCAGAAAGGATATATCCATGCTGAAGGCATGGTCATATATCAGTGTTTGTCAAAATTGACAACGTTTAAATGTAACCCATTCCGTAAAGGCGATGTAACCTAACAAATTATTTAAGTGATGCATTCCAATTTCAGATACTTGTGAGATTGCAAACGGTCCATCAGTTGTCATACCATCAGTCATGTCGACCGAGAAAAGCGCTTTTCCTGACAACCCCCCTCCTCCTTATTCGGAGCCAGGTGAGTGTGGAGGCGTGAGGCAAGGTGCCGTTCTACGGGACCATGTTGTACCGGTTGTTGGGTACCTAACTAGAAAGGGCATGTATTTGTGAAGAGAGCTACGCGTAGTCCCATGTCAGTTAGGAGACCACTGATAGCGGTTTGTTCAGGTTTGCTGGTGTTATTTACAATTATACCCGGGAAATGAATTTGAAACCGATAGCCAAAAATGTGAAAACATATTAAGTGTGGACGTCGTTATTAGAAGATTATAAGCCAACGACGTTGTAACGCAGTGACGTTATAGCCAACAGATGGCGCCACTTAGGATGTCCATCAATATACGAAATTCGTTATACGTTTCGTTTTGCCAACAACAATGATTTTCTCGCTGTTCAGCAATTTGCAACATGACCCTGTAAAGTATATGCCTTGTGTTTCAAATGTGATTTAACTACACGTTTTATCAACCAATCGGTATCGGATTCCGGACCAGAATTGTGAACACGGATAGGTATAATAACTTCAAATCAGATGTTCGGACAATTTAGATATTAAGGTTAACATTATACACGAGGAATTAATTCATATTTGAGATGTATTGATATAATATTTCGTATTGCTATCACTGGCAATTCCTTTTAACGAATAATTGTGCACCCACGATACACCTATGTCGCAACTGTAAAAAATTCAGTGCGAACGGATCGATTATTTACAGATAGATATTAATTCTTTCATTTCTGAAAAAATGCTCAATTAATACCTTTTAATATGGTATGATTTATACATTAGAGAAAAGTTCGAACCCTGTATGTAATGTTTTGTCTAACTAGGTGCGGCCACGGGGTCTTACCAACAACCACCAATGATGACGTTGCCGCAACAACAACAACAACAACAGCAACAGCAATTCGTCACAGCTGTGACTATGGCACCTTCCGGGACAGTCCTCATGTTCCCACGTGAACCGACATTACTCACGTGTCAGTTCTGCCGGGCGACTGTCACGACGACCGTGGAGATGGTCAACGGGGATGCCACACAGCGAGCTGTTCTCATTCTCTGCCTACTTTTGTAAGAAATAACCCTATCTCTACAGTGAATCCCTCCACACGCCTCCCTGAATTCCGTCATCCTGTGCGTGCGTGCATGCATCTCTCTCTCTCTCTCTCTCTCTCTCTATCTATCTATCTATGGGTGGATGGGTAGGGGCTAAGTATTCTATTACCTCTTTTCACATTCACATTATTTGTGGTTAAATCTTTGATAACTTTATATTCACATTGCACCAGGTCAAACTTGAAGGTGTCACATTCTTATTAACAATATGATACGGGTGAAATTAAACGGGCTCGGCGTTACGACCGACGTCACTAATTTTCATTGACATAGACTTTGGAAAGTTAGCGCTGCGGTGGCTTTTTGGGCGGAAGCCAGTTCTATGAAATGGTTATTCCATGGTGATGTATTTTTAAGGGTGTCATAGTTGTGTCTTGGGTGGGTTTCAACGACTGTTTTCAGCACAGTATCGTATCATTAAAATGCGATAATCGTGGGTTCTTATCTGAGATTCTCTCTGATTAGGACTCTTGGTTAGTCAGCACCTGACCTGTGATAGTTGGTTTCACCAAGTGGTGAACGTTTAAGAAATGCCTCACTGACCAAGGCAACTCACTCACTCACTCACTCATTATATTTCAGTGGCGTTATCGGAGCATTGATCCCCCTGTGCATGGACTCCACCAAAGATGCTGTTCACAAGTGTCCAAACTGCCACGTCGTCGTCGGCATGAACGCAGGCCAGTTTTGTTAAGACAAGTGCCAACTCAGAAGCAAGTGCAGTTTATGATGGCGGATGATTGCATCCACTTACTTACTTTGGGTTTTAACGCGCCCTTTCCGACATATAGGTACAGAATATACCATGCTAATTAGGTGTGTGTTGGTGTTGGGGGTGGGGGGTGGGTGCTGCTTCCTTTGTAACTACGTACCCAATGATACCCAATGATACATTTTCAAAGAATCTTGATGCAGGGTTGTCGGAAGGAATTGTTACTAAAATTATCATTTTATCAAGAATAATATATTCAAATATCGTGTTATTTTAGTTGAAGCTTCCACCATATTTACTTAAAATTATAAGAACCATATGCTTAGCACTTTGGTACAGATTGTATGCAGGATATTTTTGGACGTATGGTACGATTTTGACCGGTCACCGTAGGGACTTTCCGCGCTACATGTATTTCGATTGCAAAACGTAATGTTGACATTTAATAGTCAAACTAGCTCAAATATGACTTTTGGCGAGTCGTGGTACGGCATTTATGATATGTGTATCCATTCTCTTGCAACTTAAGTTCGTTTCAAGGCGTCAATAGCGGTAATCTGACCGTGGTTGCTGTTAATAACGGTGAGCTGTGCGATCTACCGATCACTTCGCATACGAATTCGCCGCAATTATTGTAAACATTATTATAATTGAATGAAATTTTGAATATGATTTAAAAAATATATTGCAAACATTTGTCCAGCTAAACAATGAACAATTTTTTTATTACGAGATATGATAATAATAGGATGAAATTGCGTACTTCAGTTCGGATTTGTTGACTGGTATTTCCGGTGTTAGGTGATCGCGGTGATCAGCTGATAATGTTTTCTGAGATGGGGGAAAACATCGTGTCCTTTTTAAAACTTGAGTTTAAACTTGAGACTTAAAAATGTTAGTAAATTTTGGGAGCCATGCTTTACCGCGCGCTATAACCGACCTAGCGCTATAATGAAGGGCGCAATAACGAGGGAATACTGCAGTCGTAAAGGTCACGTGACGAGACGATATCATGCAGTATTAATAGTTGACACGGTGGTGTACAGATTAAGTGAATCTGATCAAATGGCGGGTTTGCGTTGGGCATTTGAGGGTATTTTGCAGATTTCACATATTTTGTATGCATTACGTTCCTCCATCGCGTGAACACATCCGAACGCTTTGTGGGGTATACGTAGTCGCTATTTGTAACCCACCAATCAAAATACGGCCTGGTTCTAACGAGAGGGAAACTATTGAGTGCTCTGACCAATGAGCACAATCGCACAGACGGCTATATTTCTCTTGCAGCATGTGCCACAGTCGTGCGCCCATTGGCTCTACATGCTGCTTCCGTAACGCAAGGATAAGATTCGTACAAATTCGCGCACGGAGTAGGGATCATTTGAACGTGAGTTATATACGGCCTCATTTAATTACTTGACTAAAAGTAGACATTCGTCATCGCTACACCGCACATCGAGATATGTATTCACGGGTGATGGAGGAACACAGAGAACTGGTGAAGTACTGAAGATGGACATTTTGATACCAAGCAAGTTCCCCAACTAATATAATTCGTACTATATACTAGACTATTAATAACAATGACATATAACTGTGATGAAGTACCATAACTATTTGTTATGTTTTTAAATTAAAATACATTTTTATTGTTTCAATACATATTGATGGAAACGATATAAAATATTGCTCAATGATTTTCTAACGTAAACATGTATCGTGATTAGCCTGAAATAACAAGATGGTTATATATATAAATGACGTGTGTTTGTATTAATGGAAGTTTACACGATATATGGCTTTTTAATTGGACGAGAGGTCGGTCACCTGACCGCGAAATTGACGTTCATAAGTGTATGAAGTTTACGAAAACATAACAAATATGTTTGTGCAGTGTTTCTGTATATATTGTAAAACGTCAATAAAGTTTACCAAACTTTGTCTTTGTCAGTTTTTCTCCCAGATGCCAATGACGTCAGGCGATGACAAACTGCTCGTTATGGTACTGCGTGAAGGGTTAGGGTCGACAATTTAATAGTTAAGCCTGGGATGTTTTGGGAAAAAAAGATTGGTTTCTGAAAATACTGGAAAAAAATATTTGTCCTCAGGTTTTACCAAAAACAATAATAGTCATCTTCATATTCCGAAAACGAATACGTTTTGGGTCTAAAACATCCAATTTTTGTATCACCCTGTGATGTATAAAATCTAAGGTCTCAAACAAAAGTCGATAACAAATGCCAAAATACATAAAAGCACGCTCTGTAAAAACACATGCTAGATATGTTTAGCTCTAAACGTGATAAGGAAGAAGTATAAATTCTGAGCGGAACAAACATTTCGCATGTTTTATCTAAACACGTTTATATTACAACATTCAGTTTGTGTTTGTGTAATTGCCACGCTCTTAATAATGAGGCTACTAGCCCACATACGTACCCACCATTGCTACTGCAATTAGGACAATTTAACTGAACTAACTTCAGTCCTGAACTTTGCATAGGATTCGTAGCCAGCTGAGGAGTTTGGGATATAAGAGGTACTTAATACCGCATGCCAGAGTCAAATTTGAAATGAGAATCGTGGGTTCCCTTTTTGTGATCTGACTGACGTGACATCGTGTCCTCACGGGAGGTGTCGATGTTCATGTTTCTATGTCCATGCCGTCGTGAAATAACTGGAATATCGCGAACACGTACGTAAAACAATATTCATCCACCCGCACTGTATGGCCCCTTTTAAAGACATATACAGTTCAATTGTATATAATTCTGTAAGGTTAACATGTACTTATGATAGACTGAATTTAGATATTTCAACATAAAATGCATATATCATTTTATTAAAAGTATTTACGACGCCATGAAATTTGAAAATATTGTTCATTTATTATCTGTTTGAATCCAGTTGTAATTTTGAGACGGCCCCCTGATATGTGGCGATACATTGATATATATCATAACATACTTCATGTATCTTGTGATGTATGTCAACATACAAATATGAGATTAAATTACGAGAGATCATATGACCCATCGTCAGCACGTTAATATGTATGACATGTGTCAAGTGTTTGCAATTTACATGTGACTATTGAATTAGTAATTAGTAATTTCACACCATTACGAAAGTATCCCGTAACACAAGGACTGGATCATGGAGCGACGTAGGTAAATGTAAACGTCATCAATATCGATACACACAAGGCCATTTAGAAAAGAGTCATCGGGACAACACTTTCTTAGTAAAGTACAGACTCTCGTACTTTTTTGGGTTAAGTCCCGTCCGAGATTCGAACCCAAACCGCCAGAGTGAGGCACCTAGTCGCTGCACAAAGTCAGCGATCTAACCCACTCAGCCACCGAGACTTCCACAAAAATGAAAGTCTGACAACTGGTAGTCTAGTGGGTTCGAATGCCTCACGGGGCACAACCCAAAGAAAGTACGAGAATCTAGACTTTACTAAGAAAATGTTATCCCAAATATAACATTTGTTACATCGATACATTACATTGACTATAAGATTAGTTTACGACCAGCTAAAGCCGAAATATACGAATAGTGTGGACTAGGACAATGGGAGTCACAATTCACGTAAGGTAAAATACGCTTTAAATAAAGATGTATAGTTTATGTATATTTAAGTGGATTTATCATATTTTGAGTGGCGGGTGCTACTGTAAGGGCAGGACATGCTTACAGTTTTCGCGAACACATGGTTTCAACATTTATTATAAGTGATATAAGTTTCACAACTATTTTGCCTTGTAGGCCCGATGTAATTTGTTTCTGGCGTTGACGTTGTATATTTACCTCACGTAATTATTGATTTATAAACCTGTGGGGCGGATAAATGTGTATTCGCAGCAAAACGACAAGCCACCAGTGCCCTGTATTTGCTACAACCACTAAAGTAATCTCCTTCCGCTTTAAATACACCTTTAATACTTTTATACGACCCCCGGGACTCATTGTCGGACTGATTAGCCAATCAACATCTTCCAACATGGCCATGCTGATTTCCAAGAAATGTTGGTAAAAGCTATTCATATATGCAACATGATGCTATGGAATTAAATATATATCTATGGAGTGTTATTTCATAAACTCTTTGTGAAAAAAACTATGTATTTTGTAACCATTATTAAGAACTTGTCAAGAATGTAAGTAAATAATCTTGAACTATAAAAAAGAAATTGTTTGTCACAAGTCCTTTTCGGCACGTTATACGTGAGTTGGCCTTTTGGCCAATGTATAAATACGCGTTCGAAGAAAGCACTGTTCTCAATGCACTCTAGTCGTCATGGTAGAATGGGTATACACCTATTGTGTTGTGAATGTGAAATAGTCTCGTTTATCGCCTTAATTCGGACGATTTTGCCAGGAACAGAGTTGTCAATTACACATACCTTGAGTAGATTCCATATTGTCCACGGCCACGATACTGTATTGCACACTATGAATTATTACTTGTTATATAGTTTCCAAAGTCCACCAAAATCATTTTGGTGAAGCAGAGGGTCACAAGTGGTCATAACGGCCTGTGCATTATGACTAAAACCCCTTCTTGACTAAAAATATTATTATATCTTTATACGAGAACGCTGCTTAAACCTTTTGCTTAAGATCGAGCCGACACGGGACAAGTCTCCATGATCGAGTGACACTTTCGAGGTCTAGACGCCATCTGTAGTGCCGTCTGTGAACTTGAGTTCTGTCTCTATGTTGTCATGGAGTTAGTTAATGGTTCGGTTGATCTGGATCATAAAACATACAGATAACAAATTGGTCTTGAAAAGACGTGATCCAACTTTGCTAGGAGTACTGACTGGTCCGAGCTCATGGCCATTCTGTGAGGTTAAAATGGAGTTCGGTAAGACACTCAAAATATTTAATATGTGTATACCTCATGCTAATAAAAGCGACTTTAATAATGGATAATACCCTTGTAATACTCTTTCGATTCGATGAAACTATTTTCCACTACAATACGCATTACTTCTTTCAAATTATTCTCAAACTCTCACAATAAATATATACATTCGTGAAATATACCTTCGGTCTTCAAATATATTCATGATAAACAATAAATATTTTTCTCATTACACAAGCCATCAGTTATGATCCCTATCTCAAACATTATGACAAACTAGGTTCATACAGAAGACTTTCCTGCAAACTCTGCAGTGTGTGCTTCGCGTCCTTGCAATCATTTATGTAGAATGGTATTACGAGTGAGTTGGGTTTAACGCCGCTTTTAACAGTATTCCAGTTATATCGCGGCGTGTCAACTAAATGTGGGAGGAAAGCCCGAAGTGATGCAGGTCTCAGACGTTTACCACTTCGGTGAAACCCACGAGCACGGGTATGGTGCTGACAAACCTAGAAACATAATCGGGGCGAACCGGGATTCGAACCCACAATCATAGGTTTCTGGCGTACCCAAGGGACGCAACCCTGCACAGCGAATCGCGGCGCCTTAGACGACTGGGCCACCCGTGCCCCCTGGTATTACGAAGCAAAACACGCAGCTGAAAACGAAAAATACACCTCAATATACATAGGATAACGCCGCTTTTGATTTTAAGGAAAGGAATGATTTGTTTGTTTCTTCTTTAAGGCCGCAATCAGCAATATTCCAGCCCAATGGCGGCGGTTTGTAAATAATTGAGCCTGGACAACTGACTGACATCATGAGCATCGATCCCATTTGAACATGGAATCGGCATACTAGCATCGGTTTTTGTGGCACCCTCTAGAATCCACCTCTTCCCTGACACCTATCATAATCTCAGTTCAACATCGCGGTGCATTGCTGCATTGGTGAATCGTTCCACCAATCGCGTGCCCAAGCTTTTGTTTCTAAATTTAGTTTCAATAAGTTTAATCGAATCAGATGACTGATCTCTTCCCTTGAAAACATTTAGTATAATAGAGTGGAGCTATAATTCAGTGGAAACTCGAGGATGACTATGGTGCTGATAAGAATACCATGAGGATCATGTACACATGTGGGAAAGATGTTTTCTTACCCAAGTAGAATGGGAACGACAGTCAGGATCACCTGGCTCCGGGATCAGGAAACTTACTTGAGAGCATATTTTGTCTTAACTCTAAAGATTTAGACTTAAGACCAAATTTTGTCTTAAATCGGGGATCACGAAGCTCAATCTATGAGAATATCTTACGTCCAAGACAAAATGTGATCTTAAGTCCCAAGACTGCCCCTGAGTAAAAATCGTGCTTAGTAAAACTTGAGTTAAGACCACATTCATGATGCCGTTGCCTGGTCTTGGACGGAGATGGTGAGCGTGGTGCTGCAGTGCTGGTAGATGATGACAACTGGTGCAGCACCCCCGGGCTAAAAATACAGATGTTAGGGGAGCGTCATCACATGTGATGAAGAATACATTTTGAACATTTCAGCAGCTAGCTGTAAGGTAGCGTAGCCCAGTGGTTAAAGTGTTCGTTCGTCACGCCTAAGGTCCTTGTTCGATTCATAACCAAACTACTTGGTCATATTATGATATGTTTTAATGAGTAAGGGCCAGACATTGTATTAACATCGTCTCAGGGTCATACGTTCATACAGTTTGGTCCCCACTCTAAGAAGGTTCATGCTCGAAAGAATTCACACAAAGGGAAAATCAAGTCTTTCCTTGGAATACGCAGGGTGTACGTACATGTAATCATGTATCTGAGGGTGTCACGTGTGTATGTATGTTATTTATACAGCAATAAATTATTAATCTTAAGACAATATGTACGCCAGACTACGATTGTCAAATATGTAATTTTATTTTTAATTGTGTGTTTGTGTTTGTTTGTCAAAGGGGTTCTAGCTGTATCACCACGACCACTAAATAATCAAAGACCCGTCATTGGTTGTGAGCATGGCATCGATCCACGCCATCGGAGTACCCTGAAACTTGATTACTCAGGGTTCAGAACCTGACCCCCAATCTACTTTAATACGGCTACTTCGACAAACTCAATCCCCCAACACCCCCACACCCACACCCCTCCCCTCCTCCCTCCCTCCCACCCCTCCTCTCTCACCCGACCCCTCCTCCCTCACCCCTCCTCTCTCACCCCTTCCTTCGCCCCCTCACCTCTCTCCTTCACCCCTCCCTCCTTCCTTCGCCCCCTCACCTCTCTCCCCTCCTATCTCACCCCCTCTCCTCCTCCCTCGCCCACTCTACTCCTTCCTCGCCCACCCCGATTATCAATCAGTCGTTCCCTTATCTCATGTTGACAGTGCTTGACCTAAAAAGATTTTCTATCACAACTAGATGTTTAACATAACCATACGGATTGTGTGGATCCTATAACACTCCACCCGTTACAAGTTGAAGTGAAAATATGCTCAAAGAAAGAGCTGGTGTGCATTTTCTACCTAGCTCTAGTTGATGTAATTACTACCTGGGTGATACTGAGACAGCGCATCTGTGTATTTCGTCAATAACCGACTGCTTAACTGATATATTTTATATAATTTCAACTAACCGACACAAACAGCGGTCTTCGATGGAAGAGCCTGGTCCCCCTATAAACCAAAGAGAAGCAAAGACAGTTTTGTGTCAATGCTGTTCATGCGATTTGCGAGGACGTTATAAATTGTTTAAGATTTCCATTTAGCCTTTAAGAGTTACCTCCCTTGCATCGCATTAATGCTTGTCGTAAGAGGCGACCAAAGGGAACGGATAGTTCGACCCGCTGACTTGGTTGATGTATGTCATCGTATCCCAATTGCGTAGATCTATGCTCGTGATGTCAATCACTGAATTGTCTGGACCAGACTCGATTATTAACAGACAGCCGCCATACAGCTGTAATATTCCTACGTGCAGCCTCAAAGAACAAACAAACAAACAAACAATTACACCCACATCCTTCTCTAGACAATTCGCCCTATGAAATCCACTATTGCACATAAAGTTTCTGTTTTCAATCTTATGTTGGTTATTTCCTAATTGTGATTGTGAAATAAACCAGCTATACTATCATACTTATCATCTAGGTTTTGTGGTCTTAATTTAACTAAATGCAGATGTTGCAAAGTCATATTACAACACTATATAGTCTTACACTGTCCGTAGGTACACGTGTACTGGGTGACTCAGCGAATCGTGATGTCTGTTAAGAGTGTAATTGACATCACCTGCTATATACCCCGGGCCCGGTGTATGTTGCAGGTTACAGGCCGGCAAAGCCACATTTCGAAAATAGATAGCCCAAATTGATGTGGCTCTCGCGGCAATGGTTATGGTTGCGTGAGTGTATAATGTGGCTCTCGCGGCTATGCTGTCAAAACATGCTTTGTGATTCTAACAGGTTACCGTATATAACAAAACAAGTCTTGTTTTCTCATTTTTTATTCAACAAGGATAACATATCCATAAAAACTTTACATTGATGAATATGAATAGCATATGAATATCATAATGGATTTAATGTCATGAGGTGCATGACAATACGGCTTCACTCATCAAAGTGACGGTGTCGCTATAGCTCCCCATAGGGTTTCCATGACAATACGTGAAACCGTACAACCAATGGCGACTAATGACAATACCCAAATGGAAATAGTTTTCACATTTAAGGATATTTTCTCAGTGAAGTAATCAATTCCATGACATATTTTTTTACAAAAATGAAAAACATATTTGTTGAATGGGATGTGTTAGCTGTACAAATCGTCACACCAAGTAACAAAGGTCAAAGGTTCATCGCTATGAACTCTGGGAAGGAGAGGGACCACAAGGCAAATACGTACTAACTCCTGTTTGCAGTACAGCCATATTATACTCAAAATATATTTCCAGGAAGTATGATCATGATTATTAAATGATCAGCCGTAAAACACCGTCTCGTTGGCAGTTAGTGAAAACAAGTTTAACATTAACACCCGACTCAAACACGGTATACTGACTCCGGACAGACAAGTCCTTGTTTTAGCTCCTCAATGCTGAGCGACAGGCAGGGCAACAACAAGTATAATTGTTTAACGTCCTTTGGTATCACGCGCCCGGGGATCGAATCACCGACCTTCCTCTTTCCACTCAATTAGGTGGTCACTATGGTGTGATCTGACTGACTGACGCGGTCCTCGTGACCTGGCACTTGCTCGCGTGAGTTTATTTACATATTTACATGTCGATGTTAAATAGCTGGAATATAGCGGACAGTGACGTAAAACAACATTAACTCACTCACAATGTATGACCTGTTTTACAGACAGAAAATGTTCAAACATATTTGTTTTCGTCTAGCTTCTTATGTACCAGTAGTTTACAGATAAAGTGCGAAAACTACAGGATATATATCTAGATATGGTGACGGTTTCGTTTGAACATGTGTAAATGATGACAAAAACATACATATTCATTATTGTTTATTGCAAATGAAATTTACAAGCGTCTGAATGAATAACACAAGTTTAGTTTCTTTTTAAACATACGTACAGTGTCATTGAAATCAGTATGGTATGTCCAGACACGACACAGGCAAACAACGAACCATCTGGAGCTATATAACTGTCTGTAGTTTAACATAGCGTTGAAACAATTACCTTGCACTTTTCACTGTGGCTCTTTTACTTACGGAGTAACGGTATTGACTGAGTGACTGAACAGTGTCATATCTTTATACTGTGTAGTTTCTGTAATGACTACGGTGAACGATGTTTTGTAGCTCAAACCCAATATTCTATCAGTATCATCCATCGACTCCATCCACCCACCACCCATCATCCACCCATCATTCATCCAACATACAGTGACACCTGTGCCGCCCACGCCCCCGCCCCGCCCCCAGCCTTCCTACAGGCAGTGACGCTCTATATCTCATGTCTATTTAAGGCGTATGTTTGTATGACATATGCTCATAGCTAGGTATTCCTGACGTCGTCTAAAATATAAAACAGATTTACCGAGATTGCTAAATACATCATATTATTTATATTATAATGTCTTAAAAATGACCTCATCCAAAGGGTTGGAACAATAATTACGTGGGGTAAATTTGTTTAACGCGACACTCATCAATGTTCAAAGTATGTGGTAGTGGTGTAGAAATGTTCGAGCCTGGACAATCAAGTGAGTGATAGCATGAGCATCGCTCTACACAATCGGAACTGTTGTATGCAATCGACCAAGTCACCCAGCCTGACCACCCGCTTCATTTTGTCACGTCTGACGACAGACATCGTACCCTGATATCCCAAATGGTTTACATATAGTAAAATGCAAAATATATGTATATACACAAAGCCTACAGAAGCGACTCTAATGAATAAAAAACATCATTGTGACACTCTTCCGGTGAAAGTATTTTCCTCTCTATCAGATACATCCTACTTGTTAAAGATATACACAGGCCTCTCGCAAGCAATATATGGACAGATGAAGAAGCCATGTGACCTGAAACAGGTTCATGATGCACAAGTCTGAGGTCAATCTTTAGGTTCCCTGGACACCAAGACACTGTTCAGATGATTGTGTAACATGGCAAATATGTTTTGTCTCATTTACCAAACCAGCAGTGACGGTCCCTTTCTCGAGTATTATTTCAAACTATTTCAACCTATTTGAGAAAACTTTCCAACGAGCTGCTTGCAATTGGGACACGAGTGCTTTGCGTCCTTCAAGTCGCTTATACAGAACGGTATTAAGCAGCAAAACAGCGCGCACCTGAAACCAAAAAATGCATATCATTATATGCATGTTTAAGACCGTTTGGACTTTAAACAAAATAATCAGTAAGTTTGTTTGTTTCTCGTTGATCATCTCTTACGAAAGGCATGGGTAGCTGAAGATCAATTTCAACACAGATCCTCTCGGGTCAAGAGTAAGTGATTAAATGTATATTAAAACAATAGATGGCCAACGAAATATTAATCTCTTAATTCATGCTGCAAATCAGCCGCTTCAATCAGAAGTAGTTATAGTGATTGAAACCTGTTAATGACCAATCACAAAAGAGTATTTTCCAAATCCATGGTGGAATTTATGTGTAAGTTTAACGCCGCTGTGATTTGTTTGGATACGATGGCATGCATCAACCAAGTCAGCAAACCTGACCACCCGATCCCGTTACGACGCCTCATACAACAAGCATAGTTGTCTCTTACGCAAGTACAAGCATGGGTTGCTGAAGGCCTATTCCAACCTGAGATCTGAGCTTTCAGTGAGGAATATGTACACTTGTACACTGTTATCTTACCCAAATATACACATGAAGAAACACGCTATCCACTGCAGAGTACTGGTCTCGTCGTCGACGGAGGTGGTGACCGTGGCGCTGCAGTGCTGGCAGATGATGAGGGCGGGAGTCCTCCTGTACCTGATGGTGTTGCCGAGCACGGCGCCCCCGGGCTGATTGATGACCACAGCTGTGTGGGGACAGTAATCGCATGAGATGAAGAATATTTCTTGAACATTTAAATCGTTTAAACTACCTGACTACCCTCACCCTCTCTCTCTCTCTCACTGTCTCTCTCTCTCACTCTTTCTCTCTCCCTCACTCTCTCACTCACTCTATCACCCTCTCTCTCACTATCTCTCTCTCACTCTCTCCCTCACTCACTCTCTCTCTCTCACCCTCTCACACTGTCTCTTTTTCACTCTCTCTCTCACTCTCTCTCTAACTGTCTCTCTCACTGTCTCTCGCGCTCTCTCGCTCTCTCTCTCTCTCTCTCTCTCTCTCTCTCTCTCTCTCTCTCTCTCTCTCGCCAATCATTTAATTGGTAGATTGATTCACATTATGGAATTTTGAATTGCAGACATAGAGATTGGTGTTTGATGGAATTAAACCAAATTGTCTGGGTCTGCTTATTTGCCTGAGCGTTGTCCCCAAAATTTAACATTTGCATAAAGACGGTAAGAGTTAGTTTCGTTTGAATCCCACGGAATTTAAAAGTGTCACCGTCCTAAGAAAACTGAAAAATTGCTTTTGAGTCTATTCGAGATATGTATGTGGTTTGATTTGGTGATCCATCCCAAAAGTTTGCTTATTCATGACCTAAAGTATTTGACATCATGAATTCTATGAAAATGTTTACAGTAAGACGTTCACAGGCTTACGTTACAATTTTGATGTCATGTGTGTGTAAATAAAGGTTTATGTTCCCTGTGACGCCATTTTGCCAGAGTACATTGTGAACATCAACTTTAGTAGAGTATCATTCGTGATCATTAAGTAACGTTAATTTCTTAACATTAATACACGCAACTCAGAGCTGCGCAGTTATTTAATAAATATCCCCTCAAAGATATTGATGACTGAATATGGTTCATTCCAGTATCACGACACCATCTATCCATTAGTAAAGTTGTGTACTCTTAAACCGAACCGAACCCGGGTCTTCTACGTGACGAGCTAACGAACCACCCACAAATCCCATCGCATCTTTAGAGATGTATAAATGGAGGAAGCTTGTCCATTGAACTATCAAATACTCACTTGTACTTGCCGCTGGTCCCGCTGGGTACCCTCCTGTGGCGTGGGGTGGGAGGTTTCCATGGGCGTATCCTTGGGGCTGGCCCGGGGCAGGTTGTAGGTAGGGTGGTTGTCCCGGGGGTGGTTGGGGGTACTGCGGTTGCCCCATGGGTGGTTGTGTGTAAGGTGGTTGTCCTGGGGATGTATGCGAGTAGGCAGGCGGTTGTCCAGGAGGCGGTTGTGTGTAAGGTGGTTGTCCTGGGGGTAATTGCGGGTAGGCAGGTGGTTGTCCCGAGGGTGCATGTGTGTAGGCAGGGGCTTCACCTGAGGGTGGGAGTGGCTGTGGATAGGGCGGCTGTTCCGAGGGGGTTTGTTGAGGGTAGGCAGGTTGATGTTGGTAGGATGTCTGACCAAGGGTAGGGTCCTGGGGACGGGGTGCAGATGCAAGCGACATATCCCCGGGGGGTGCGTCGTCAGAGACGCGGTACTTCTCCTCGCTCATCGTTTAAAGCTGAAAGAAATTGAAATAATATAGTTCATGTGTAAGTAATATACCGTATCTGGGGGGGGCACATAGCCCTGAGTATCCGTTGTACAAAGCGATCAGAGTGCTAAGGTGATCGTAAATCCCATACCTTAACATAGAGTTGCGACAGTCGTAGCACTGAGGTTAGTTTTGTACAATGGCACCCTGAGAGTACAAGAAGTATTATATACGTACATTGCAGAAAAATGTCATGGTGCAAACCGTTGGCTCTTTCAGCAATATAAGCATATATTTGTACAAGCACACCCACAACCACAACCACAACCACACACACACATACACACACTCCCACATCCACAACCACAACCACCTCCACACACACACACATCCACACCCACGACTACAACCACAACCACCTCCACACACACACACACACACACACACACACACACTCCCACCTCCACACACACACACACACACACGCACACACACACACACACACACACACATCCACACCCACGACTACAACCACAACCACCTCAACACACACACACACACACACACACACACTCCCACATCCACAACCACCTCCACACACACACACACACACACACACACACACACACAC